TCGATGGGAGAGTCTATTTCCATTGTTTCTCAGTCCGGAACCGCACGCACTCTCGTTGCGACCTACACCGGCCCACCATACACCGTCCCGAGCAACTTTGGTTCAAATTACGCTTCTATTGATGCTGGTGCTTCTCAGAACTTCCAACCACCATCTGCCACCATTGAAATCGTTTCCCTAAACCCACCACAAACCTTCCCACCCGCAATCACCACTTCCATCCCCGTCACTTCAAGAAACACCGCCAACTACCCAAGCATAAACTACGCAGATCCAAGCGTGTTCGCACCAGTTGACCCTAATGCCGGTGGCTTGGGAGGCCCAACTGGCGGAGCAGCCAGCGGTGCACCCGCCACCACTGCACCTGCTTCGAGTGCCGCCTCGAGTGCTGCTTCGAGCGCCGCTTCGAGCGCCGCCACCTCATCTGCTTAAATCTCGCATCTTTAGGAGTTGGTTCAAGTCTGTCGTAACAAAAAACAAAGGAACATTTCACGAAATATATCTCCTCAAAAAAGCGGGCATTAGTGTTTAACGTTTAGTTGTGAAGCCATAACCCAATGTAGTTTTATACCTAGACTCAATTGAAGAAATACATTCTTTGGGGGTTAGCAAGCTCTTTTCCTGTCTCTATTTACTTTTTTTTCTTATTGGGTTTTTTTCCTTTTTGGGTCATGTTTTCCTTCCTTTTTTTTTCTTTTTTTTTATACGTCTTTCTGATGTCTAGCTATCATGGCGCTGTCATACCAATGGCCTTTGTCTGTTTTTTAACTTTTATTATACTATGGATAACCATTCATCATCATAAGCGCTCAAATATTCAATGGAATCTTGAAACAAAATATAAAGGATCTTTATTCAAATTTTCGCGTTTTGTTAGGTGGGGGTGGAGTTGAGGTGTGCGGCTGTAGAGTACTGGATTTGTGAGGCTGAGCTTACGAGGTGCTTGTTCGCGCATCTTACCGACATTGGTATACATGGTAATAATAGACATATGCGAAAGGAGCTGTCAGTTCAGTAACCAGAGCTCAGGTTTTGTGAGCGCATGGATGTATGTACGAGTATATTGCAAGGGGTTGGGGACATCCTTCCGCCTTATACGTTCTGGATGCGCAATATCAAGATGCAGTTTCGTAGATACTTGGCGATCTTGTGGACTTGGCAGTCCTTCAGCTCAAAGCACCTTTTGCAACTGCTTTGAGCCGAACTTAGCGTCTCGACCAACATAGAACAACAAGGCAACTTCTCGCAAAGCGCACTTACTAGATTTGCAAATTTTAAAATTCTTTATTTAATAATGCTTTAGATTTTATATGCTCTAATGTTATTGAATAGGTACAAATTTTGCAAGTTCATTTCTTGCGACCCATATATCCGGGATCTCATCAACTATCCCTTACCAAAAGTATGAGGTTAAAAAGAAACACAAAAGTAAACCATGCTAAAAACCGCTAAGAAATACATACAATGAAACAGATATGCAATATTTAATGTCCGTCGACATTGAAACGTCTAGTTTCAATCTACACCTCCTCTCTACATGACCGCAACTTGATTGTTTAATCATACAACCCATCTCCCTCCATCTTATCATCATCATCAAAATCGCTCATGTCCATGTCTACATCTTCGTCCATATCACTCTCATGATTGGGAGCAACAACGACCTTCTCTTTCCCACCTTCTGTGGATAATACAACATGTGCCTCCTCTCCGTCTCGGATCGCACCCTTCAAAATCAAAACCGCAAGAGGGTTCAACACCTCCTTCTCGATCACCCGTTGCATGACTCTGGCGCCGTAAGCTTGAGAGAACCCAGCTTGTGCGAGCCAATCCTTAGCGCGGTCATTAACCACGATGTTAATTTTCTTGCCATTGTCGTGCAACCGCTTCTGGACTTCAGCCAATCTTAGATCGACGATCTTGCGGATACCATGACGATCGAGCTGGTTGAAAATAACGATCGAACTGAGACGGTTGATAAATTCAGGTAGGAAGTGACGCCGGATCGAGTCCATGACCAGCTCTCGAGTTTCAGGATCGATCCTTCTATCGCTGCGGCGGGAGGTGAGGTATTCGGCACCGAGATTTGAGGTGAGGATTATAACGGTGTTCTTGCCGTCGACGACACGGCCCTGAGAATCTGTAATTCTACCTTCGTCTAAAAGTTGGAGGAGAACGGTGAGAACTTCCTTGGCAGCCTTCTCAACTTCATCAAAAAGAAGAATGGAGAATGGTTTTCGACGAAGGGCTTCAGTGAGTTGGCCGCCAGCGTCGTGACCAATGTAGCCGGGTGGTGCTCCGATAAGTCGTGCTACTGAGTGCTTTTCCATGTATTCGGACATATCGAAGCGGATCATACTCTTTGGGTCGTCGAAAAGAAATTCGGCGAGCGATTTGGTAAGAAGGGTCTTACCGGTTCCCGAGGGACCGCAGAAGAGGAAGCTGGCGATGGGCTGATTGGGGTTGCTCAAGCCAGATCGAGAGAGACGAATGGCGTTCGAGACCGCCTTGACGGCTTCTTTTTGGCCTACGACGGCTTTGGAGAGGTACTTCTCCATGTTGAGTAATTTTTCCTTTTCCGTGGTCTTGAGACGAGTAACGGGGATACCGGTCCACCTGGCGACAATCTCGTTGATTTGGTCTGGTCCGACGACGTCTGTGACAAGAGGAGATTCACCATTTTCTTGGGGGTTGCTAAGCTGCTCGACTTCAGCTTGCATTTTCTGACGCTCGAGCGTTTGGATTCTCTCCTCGAGTTCCGGTATAACGTGTTTGTCAAGGTCGTAAACGTCGTCAAATCGCCTATCACGCTCTAGAGTTTCACGTCGGTGTCGCTTTTCTTCCAAACGTTTCTTTAAGTCTTGTAGCTCGTTGCTTCGGCGCATCTCGGACTCGTATTTCTCTCGGATGGGACGCAGCTCTTCTTGAACGTTGGCAGCTTCCTTGCGAGCAAGCTCAAGACGTTCTTTCGAAGCCGCATCCTTCTCTTTTTCGAGGGCATGGATTTCGATTTCGATTTGGCGGAGTTTACGCTCGAGGTGGTCGAGTGCTTCCGGTTGAGATTCACGAGCGACTCTGACAGCTGAACAAGCTTCGTCCATCAAGTCGATGGCTGAATCTGGTAGCTTGCGAGAAGTGAGGTAGCGTTGCGCTAGAGTCGCGGCCGTGACGAGCGCCGAGTCGAGAATGGTAGTTCCATGGTGCACTTCGTATCGTTCCTTCAGACCTCTGAGAATCGAAATGGTCTCGGGGAGTGACGGTTCCTTGACAATGACTTGCTGGAAACGACGTTCGAAGGCAGCATCTTTTTCAATGTATTTTCTGTACTCCGCAAGGGTGGTGGCACCAATACAGTGCAACTTGCCACGCGCAAGCATGGGCTTGAGCAAGTTAGCTGCATCCATGCCACCTTCACCGCTAGCTCCAGCTCCCATGAGAAGATGGATCTCATCGATGAAGAGAACGATCATTTCCTTGCTTTCTTCGATTTCCTTGAGAACAGATTTCATTCTCTCCTCAAACTCTCCACGATACTTGCTACCGGCTACTAATGCACCAACATCGAGAGATAGAAGTTTGCATTGTGCGAGGTTTGCAGGAACATCAGCTGCGACAATTCGCTGGGCCAATCCTTCTGCAACACTCGTTTTACCGACACCGGGTTCACCGATGAGTACCGGGTTGTTCTTTGTTCGTCTGGACAGAATTCTGACGACTCTTCGAACTTCCTCCTCTCGTCCAATAACGGGGTCGAGCTTTCCTTCTCTTGCCTGGGCTGTCATGTCTATTGTGTACTTTGACAGCGCCTCGTTCGGAGACTCTGCATCTGCGGTTTTGCTGTCCATCCGTCTATCACCACGAATAGCAGTAATAGCATCTTGCAGGACTTTGACGTTGGGAATGTTGGCAGTTTTCAGAGCTACCTGCACTGTCGAGTCCTCGACGACTGCCATGATAAGATGGTCGACGCCGATGAACTTGTCTTTTTGTAGCTTTTGCAGGTCATGTGCTTTCCGCAATATCTTGGACATACCAGGAGAAAATGTGGGGTTCTCTGGTGGAGGGTCCTGGGATGGAGATCTGACTAGAGCCTTCTTCATCTCGCGATCCAAAGTTTGGAAGTCACCGTTCGCCCGCTCGACAGCCTGGCGGAAGAGCGAAGGACCTTGAGGAACAGCATCGGTTACACCGGGTTTGCTGTCATCCGGAGGAGGGGTTAGGAGAGATACGGCGAGATTTATGGGACGAATCTCGACGTGTGAGTATTGTGAGGCGAGTTCGATAGCGTTTTGGATGGCCCTGAGAGCTCTATCCGTGTAGTCGTGTCCGCCTGGTCCCGACATTTTGATTTTGAAGGAGGTATTAAAAAATTAGATAGTTTTGTGAGAATGCAAAGGTGTTTTTAAACAGTGATGTATCGGATGTGTACAGTCGTAAATTCGTAAGTGAGGTTGTGTGCCGTTATGTATGTCTACGGCAAAGCTGAAAGCTCATGTGATGAGTCGCGATCGATCACTAGGTCTAACGTCTATCGATGGGGAAGAATGAAGAGGGGAAAGAGTTAATGAAACGGATGCAAAGATGGTAATTTATTCACAGGAGAGGCGATTCCTGCAAGTGGTCTGACATTTAACGGCCTTGTTCGAGAGATCGCGAGATGCTGCCTGACTGACGTAGAAGACCCGCGAACTTGGCGGCTCCTTCGAGAGCCTTCCAAAATGTTCCACCGCAACACATTCCCAATTTGTACCTGTGACGTCAGGCCGACGATCACGTTGGAGATCACGTGAATTCATTTTTATTTGAGCCTCTCAGGAACATTAGCAGTGAATTTGGCACCAAAGAGTAGCGCTCATTCAGTAGCCCAAATTAAAACGCCACAAAAGTTCAATTTGAACACCTGCCAGATACCTTAATCCTTCAGAGGTTGAAGGCGCAAAAAAAAGTTTCGTCGAACCTCGGTTAAACGAGGCTCAAGAGCGCAAAAAGGAATGATCGGAAGGTCGTATTGGGAATTGAACCCAAGTCGCCAGAATTTCCAAATCAGAATCTGGAGTGCTAACCACTACACCATACAACCGATCAGATGACGATCGGACCCCTATTAACAATTATAGATTTAGCAAGGAATTTTACAGTTCGGGAGCTGGAGTTTTCGATCATCCCTTCAACACAATTTAGACGCATTCTACAACAGACAAAAAATTTTCCTCGTCATTTGGACAAAATAGTGGATTTAGACTCGCATTTGCATAAAACTGATTCCAACTTGTGATACACAACCTTAGAGCTTCCTCGTAGATCTTGCCAGCTCTCCGGAATATTATTGTGACCTGTATGAACATGAATTCCTGCAGATTTGACAGCGAATGCATATAGGTGCTATTTTCGTCGACTGTACATTCCTAAAATAGAACATCACGAGATTTTAGCCCTTGCTCTTAGTTTCACAAGAGAGTTGATAAAGAGGGAATCTTCAGAACGTAGTCACAAAGCCAAGGTAATTTGACATGGTATACATCTTTAAACTCAACACCCTCACCTGGACCAAACCACTTAACCACACGCGATGATGGATGCTCTAGAAATGCCTCGGCTTTCACGCACGCGGTTATGGTTTAGTGGTATAATTCTCGCTTAGGGTTATCTTGATCGATCCAATATGCGAGAGGTCCCAGGTTCGAGCCCTGGTAACCGCCTGAGCGCTTTATCTTTTGGTCTGGAGACAGTTGAGGATCTGGTGTGGTGGATTTTTTTTTTACATGGCTAAGTGGCTGAAAAGACTCTAAAGAGGCAGCAAATGTTCTGATGCTGTTGGAATGGTACTAGAAAGCCTTGCTATGTGCTTCTGTTTTGGAGTTATAGATTTAATTTAGTAAACAAAAGAGCTAGAGTTTTTGTGCTTGTGTAACACGCAGTCTCTTAAATTTCAAGGTGTATACGTATATCTCGTTTCCATTAAATGCTGATACTACATTACACTAAATCGTGATCCATAACGTTACGATTGTCATTATATATAATTGCTTTCGCAATTGAAAAGATGGATCAACCTAGTTTTTCCAAAGAAGTCGATCAAAAGGTTCTTCCGCCACCAACGCTCATATTCATAGCATAGCCCCCCCTGATAACTCTTAGAGTCACTTCTTCAAGTAGACTTCTTCAGTTGGATATAGCGGCTGTAAGGAACAGTAAAGTTGCTCGAGTAGTTCAAAAACTGAACGTTTCCGTTCGGATTAAACGGGTCGACCCTCGTCTGAACATCAGTGCCCATCCAGATAATCCCCATATCTGTATTTTGGTCCCTATTCCACTTGTGCAAAATAGTAAGGACGTATCCGAGACCTTGATAGTACTCGAGACCGAACGCTACACCGGGAACGCTGCATTTCGTAGGGAAAATGGCCGTAGCAATGCTAGGTAAGATGGCTTGAGTAACGTAACATGTTGCCGTAAGTTTCGTGGCCGGGTCCTTAACCGTAAGAGAGAGATATGCTTGCGCAGAATGGGGGATTCCAGAATTGTAAAAATCTGATATTTGGAATGCGCCAGTTGTAGCACGGGCGGAGAGGGTATGATCTTCTGGCAAGCCGAGAGGACTTGCATTAATAGAAGAAGCCAGGGACAAAAGTGGCAGGAGAAGAGTGGTGAAATGCATGTTGCTAGTTTAGATACTTAGATAGCGAATGTATGCAGTTAAATTTTGTTAACGAGTGAGGATTTTGACAATGTTTAGGATTATTCCGACCTGAGGTGCAGGAGAATTAATCATATGGGTTTCTCTCCCTTTTATACACATTTCCCAAAGCTTAATTGCTATGACGCAACGGGGTTAGACAATCTTCATTAGCTCATGTGCTGAAAATTTTCTCATGGCTTGGGGAATGTCAAAGATATCGATTGATCGCGGGATCCAATCATATTGTCCCTCCTTCCTGTTTCGAAGTTACACCGCATGCTAGCGCAATGGGCAACTCAGAATTCGGTGTTCCCATGGCCATTCATCCAGGTTCCCGGTTGGACTTTCTGGTAATTAATACAACGCCACGCTACTTCTCAGCCGCACCAGTGCGCTCCCGACTGTCATCTGGTCTTCTAGACAACGGCCGAAGGACTTGCTAAGTTTAGAATTTGATTCACCTTAATTTATGAGATCCCACAGCTAGGCCAATTGTCGTGCGGGGTTCACCCCAACGCTGTATTTGTAACTCAAGATCCACTATCGCGCTCGGAGCTTCGGGCGTTCGAAAGTGTTGTCGCAGAGATCAACTAAAAGATGTTATAGCCTATATTATTGTAGCCTCGACACTAGATGTTATTCCAGCCTTGAAACCTTATCATTAATTCCAGGGTTAAAATTTAAAATATAAGATTAAAAGCGAGTGCGCCGCCCCGAAGAATTCATACATAATGGGAAATTCTTATCTGCGAGCGTATGTTCATAAATACAAAAGTAGATAAGTATTCTTAACGTTCTCCGTTTTAATAGCAGTTGTATAGAATATAACATATTCAAATTATATTGGTTTTTAGGTACACGAACTCTGATTCCAAGCAGGGTGTTGAGGAGAACTATGTTTTTATAGTAGACCCGTTTATCGGGAAGTTTAGCGGTGCCGGCAAGGTTCGCAAATTCTGTGCACCGAAGCCATAAGATATTTGTTAGTTTACCTAGAGCAATATTTGCACTAGGGTCTGACTAGAAACTAGATATAAGGGAGCTCGAGAATTGATAATAAAATATATGAGCCAAAAATTGATAACATACGCCTGTGGCATCAACAAATGATGCGAGTCGAATCCAATCCCCGGATCAATTGAAGCCTGTTATTTAAAGGAGCGACTATCGAACCCCTCGGCCCGTAAACACTGACAATGGCCAGGAGGGGTATTAAGAACAATTTATCTTGTTTAAATAGGGCTTCTCGGCGTTGCGGTGCTAGAAAAACTATGGGATAGCAACGAGACTAGCCCCCTCCCTCAAGTGTCTGATTTGAGGTCTGTGCATTTAACAGATTCGGATCCGAAAAACAGAAAAATAGGAAATAAAGAAAAGGGAAGCAACTGCCATTTTATTTTTCAGTATATCACGCCGAGAGACTAATAAGCGTTAGTTGAGCCATAAATTGAGACATAATCGCTTTGAAAAATAAGGATTCTTTATTCTTTCGTGAACAAGCTGCCCCTTGCCGGACCGGCCTGGATCCCAGAATATATACTCTGATGACTTTTGAATCTAGATATGGAGATAAATTTGACTAGCAACAAAAGTTCCCCGACCGATAATTACTTCTTTCCTCTGTGCCAGTGGTCATTCTCTTCCTCGGTCGGTGGAACGAAATTGTTGTAAAAATCGGGATCCCGAAAAATCTTTCTTAAACCAGGAACTTGGGGATTTCCAGGGCTTCTGATAAGTTCTCGATGCATTGCCAATCGAGTCATAAGGATTCGCTTGTGGAGATCAGGTTCGAGATTCGGTACTGCCACTATTGCTGATGTGTCTCTCAGCAGAGAAGCCATTGCAAGATGGAGGTAACGAAGAGAGATCGAGTTGCGATTCTGATCGCTAACGCCCTTACAACGGGTGACGCTAGTAGCAACCTTCTCGTAGACATGGTAAGCTTGACGACCGTCTAATTTCGGGTATTGGTTCTGATTTGCCTCCGTCGTCTTATCAACACAGTGCAAGGGAACCAGATTATCGCCATAGACGATTGCGAGATCAAACTTTTGCTCAAAAACGAGGAAATTTAGTTTTTCTATCGCCCCTTTCGGATTATTTCGACAGAATGTAGCAATCTCATTCAGGCGTTCTCGATTTTGAGGATCGAGTTTGAGCTTTGAATACACTTCCATTGCATATGCGCGACAACTGATACACCCACGCGAACAGGTTAGTAAATACTTGGTTAATGATCTCATAAATACCATGGTAAGGCGATCCTACCTTTTTAATGCCAGAAATAGTTTTTATAGTGAGGCGTAAGGTCGAAGTGAGGGGTGTCGGTGGAATTGAATCAGTCTTCTAATAAAACGGTCTTGCAAAGAATGATAGAAATGGAGAAGGTAGATGGAGAGTGTGAAATTTGTTGACCTCTTGCTACGAGATTAGACTCCGCTCATCAAGATAAAATGAAATCATTGTGAAAGATTGTTAGCCTTGTAATTGCTTTTGTTTTTAGGAAACCAATCATGAGTTCAACATGGAACTTGGAGCTGCTCGGGCAACACATGTAGGCACTTTGCAGCTGTTGCATTTTGTGCAAGACTGTTTACACTTCTGGAAACGAGGAGAACCTCGAGCGTGTGTTTTCAAACCAAAACACAGACCTTCATGCAGAGTTTGTATTTATATTTACAACCCGAAGTTATGTACTCTCAAGCTGTCATTTCTTAGCTCCATTGAAGCACGAGTTGATATAACTTTAGTCCTAGAGGTCATGTTCATCAAGAACTTTGGTTTTTATTACCCTTTCTTTTCTTTTAACATGACAGCCGCTGGCAGCATGATGGCGCAATAGATAGTTTTGTCACTTACGACGCGACCCAACTGGAAAGCCACACCGGGACCATGGAATGTCGACGATTGTACCTCCGCATCTTTTAAATAGTTGCGAAAAGGCTGACAAAAACCACCATGTCTCATGTTTTCCTAGACCCGCCAATGAAGAGCGATTGGTTTCTCCCTCGTGTCCAAAGTAGATGCCCTAAAGGGTAATCTTGCGCTCACCTTTTCTCTTGATTTCATTCACAATATTCGTATCCAGAGCTAAGAGCCCCACCTTGGGGTTACCCAAAGCCGACATTCGACTTCTGAATATGGACCGGAGCGAGAACCTATCTGACCATGAAGTTTATGCCCTCAACTCTTCATACCACCAACAATCCACTCATGGCGACTTTGACGACGACATAGCCCCGGAGTTTAGAACTATTACCCCATCCCCAAGTCGTGACCGCTATGTTGTCGCTTGGATTTGCGCGCTTGCTATAGAAATGGCAGCAGCCCGTGCCATGCTCGATGAAGTTCACAAGGGTTTTGCCGTTTCCGAGAACGACAGCAACACTTATATCCTCGGA